GAGGAGGGGTGATGACAGCGGTTTTGGGGGGGGACAGGGACTGATCCAGAGGAGAGGGACTGGTTGATGATATCAGCCATGAGTGGGCAGAGGAGGGGGAGCTGGTCACCAGCAAGTTGGTGGGGGGGGGGTCGAGGCAGCAGGTGGTGGGTTTCATTGAAGTGATGGCGGGTGAGAGGGGGGAGGGAGGAAGGAAGGAATGTAGGATGGGGGTCACGGTAGGAGCTGATGATGGGGAGCGTGTGTGAGGGGTGGCGTTGGGTGACGAGAGGCAGGAGGATGCGGATGAGGGGAGCAGCGGGTAGAGTGGGGGGGAGACATAGCGAGTGGAGGCTCGGGTCGGGGCGGCAGCCGAAACGCGCACAAAGAGACCGGGAGCGAGCGATCAGCGGGACGGCATCAGCCCGCAGGCCGGGATCGGCGGTGACAATGTCTCCTGACTCCGCTCCCCGAGTGAGTGGCTCCTCTCTGGGCTTCACACCCGCTGCCCTACTCGGCCTCGGCTCAGCCCCGCGCTGTCCTGACTCCGCTCCCCCAGCGAGAGGCTCCTCTCTGGGCTTCACACCCGCTGCCCCCTAGGCCTCGGCTCAGCCCGCGCTGTCCTGACTCCGCTCCCCCAGCGAGAGGCTCCTCTCTGGGCTTCACACCCGCTGCCCCACTAGGCCTCGGCTCAGCCCCGCGCTGTCCTGACTCCGCTCCCCCAGCGAGAGGCTCCTCTCTGGGCTTCACACCCGCTGCCCCACTAGGCCTCGGCTCAGCCCCGCGCTGTCCTGACTCCGGTCCACAGTGAAGAGGCGGTACATTACAATGGGTTATTGACGGTTTGGTGGTGTTTTTTTGCTGTAGTTACACCTCGTGGCCACCGAGTCAAAGTGGCGCCGTGGGATCGCGCGTCACAGAGCACCACCGAACACACTGCAGTTACACCTGGTGGCCACGCCGGCTGACCGTGGCGCTGTGGCATTCTGCGCCACAGATCAAGTACGGAGCCAAACGGCGCGAACAAAATAAAGACACAGAGAAAGGTAATCAACAGCAACAACATTACATTTTTATAGCACCGAGTCCTCCCACTCAGTCCTCCCAAATGGTGTCCTCCCACAGGAGTCCTCCCAGATGAGTAGAGATGAAGATGAAATGTCTGTCTGTGGGTCAATCCACATTCCATATTGGATCCTTTGGTTGCAAGTGAAGCTGCAACGGGTGCAGCTCGTTATTCAATGAAGTAGAAAACAAACCACGAAAGGCCTGTGAGTTCCAAAGAGTTTAATGGTAATGGTGGGGCAGATAGAGCAGTGGGATATGAAACAGGCCAATTGTCACTGAGCAAAGGGAGCAGCCGGTCACTGTGGATGAAGGAAATCGCAAAGGGAAGAGAGGAAAGTGCTTGAAAGAAGTTACTTGACAGAGACTTCACTGCATTTCAAAGTGAAGTATCCGAAGTGTTTAGAAATGTTCTCCAGATATGCAACTGCCAAATAGAACGAGTTGTATGTATTAATATGACTCTATATTCTGCCATCTCTGATTTACCAATCACAGCCACTTGAGGTGACCCAACAGTTGCTGTTGGTGTGAAGGGGAATAATGTATGAAAGGTCCGGCTGTGGGCCCCACGGTGTGAGAGCAGGAAGCTGCTCACTGACTGACTGCACACAATCACAGTTGTGCTCTGAGTTTCTGCCCCACCTGAAGGCGGTGTGAATCATTCTGTGTGAAGCGTCTTTCAAGCAAGAAGACTTTAGATATAAAAAGCAGGAACTTGTTTAGCATTTTGCTCATGAGCTGTTCTGCAACATGAACTATTCCATCACATCCACAAACAATCATTTCCTGTGAATTCGAAGTCTTGAATAGCAAATAACAAAAACAACAAAAACAAGATTCCATTTATAAAGCGCCTTTCACGTCAGGAGGACGTCCCAAGGCGCTGCACAGTTGTGTCATGACCCGAGCATTGGGGGGAAATGGTCAGGGTGAGGGGAGGGAAGGGAGGGAGCGAGGAGGGGGGAAATGGTCAGGGTGAGGGGAGGGAAGGGAGCGAGGAGGGGGAAGAGAGTCGACCCCAAACAATATAGAAATATTTAAAACAGAGAACTCTCCATCATTTCTATTGTTTGCTGAGTAAAGTCAGCGCCTCTTAATTATTGTGTATGTAAGAATACGACAAACGATGCAGAAAATGTGTTGACAAAGTCAACCGGCCAATAAGAAGTGATATCACAAGCTGAGTGTAAGAGGCACTGCATATTATTCTCTGGGTGATTAGGCTGTATATCTGTGCCACATTACACCAGCGATGCACTGCACAATATTAACTGTCCACTGTTCAGATACTCTCCAACACTTGGTGCGGTTTTCACATTGAGACTGTATGAACATAAGGAATGAACAGCCTAATGAGGCCATAGACACAGTTATTTGGGACGTTGGGAAGAGGAAAGAACTGATATTTAATAATCCAGGACATGAAGATACATGGTTTGAAATCATGAGCCATATATTATATGAAGCCCTTTGAGACGCGTAGAAGATGTGAAAAGGTCCTATATCAAATGCAAGGATTATTACTATTATTATTATGTCTTGATGCCCATTTGGGACATGAATTCAAGATTGGAATACAAAAATCAGCAGACAATCTGGTGGGAGACCAGAACATTGCTAAACCACAGGAAATAATATTTTAATTAAGGCACAATATAAATTTTTGCCCACTTAATACAGTTACCAAGCATTAAAGTGCTTGAGGAGTTTCAATAATGTAGTAAGGCATTATGTGAAATGCAAGAAATATTATAATAATTATTATAAGAAGATAAGAAAATCAGAATTGCTCGATGAAAGAATACCAAGGTCCATCTGGTTCACCTTCCACTATCCTGGCAGTCGCATGCATATGTTATGTCCTAAACAATGTACTGTGTCACACAACATTATTTCTAAAAAGTAACATATCTCATTTATTTTTACAAGAATCAACACTTTCTCCTTCCATCATCTCCCCCCCCTTTAACTGAAATAATGTTCCAGCAGATTTGTTTTGCATTTACCGCCTCCTCCACACACACTGCAAACACACACACACATACGTTGAAGAAAGGAATTTGCGAAGCTTGAGGGTCAGCGAGAGGGCTAATACTATTGAGACTTATATTAATATTAATTTGCTGTAAAGGCAGAATGTAAAGGTACAGTTATTGCTCTGTGCAGGTCAGAGGGAATGTCACACGTGACTCCCCTCAGTCCTGCAGCTATTGGTGGGTTCTCCACCCCCTGCCCCACTGCCCCGTTATATACCGGTCACTGGGGACTGAGGCCATCTGTACGGCAGCTCTTTGGCCCTCGGTTATTCGGTTCAAGTCTCAGTTCTGACAAGTGCCCAGAAACATGAGGTCCCTGATTTCTCTCAGTCTGCTGCTGGCTGTCTTCTCCCGTGAGTGCTATTATTCTGACAGTCTCACTCTTCCTGTGTCGGTGTTATTCTCTCTGCAATGTCACACAGTCATTAATCTTCTCTCATTTATTCTTTACAGGTGTCCAGGCCGATGTGGTGCTGACACAGCCGCCGTCTCAAACTGGAAACCTGGCCATCCCCTGAGACTGACCTGTAAAACCAGCGGGATTGATCTCAGCAGGTATGCCATGAGCTGGGTCCGGCAGGTTCCTGGGAAGGGGCTGGAATGGCTCCTCATGTATTACAACTCATCCAGCAATGCATTTGCGCCTGGGATTGAAGACCGTGTCACTGTCATCAAAGAGAATTCCAATAACATCTTTGACTTGATCATCAAAAGTGGACGACACCGCCATCTATTACTGTGCAAGAGGGTCACAGTGAGAGGAAACGGGGCTGAACTCCTACAAATACACAAGGGGAGGAAAGGCAGCCCCTCCCACCCTAAACTGCCTGACAGTCATGGTGTCAATGCTGTGTCTGGAGCGAAGATTAAAGGAAAAGCTTCAAATGGATTTCTTCTCATGTTAAACCTACACAGTGAGTCGTGGTTTGATGGGGCGAATGACCTGCTTATTGGTGCTGTAATATTCTGGGATTTCAGTTGGTAAGTGACACTGTGCTGTTTGAGGCGGGAAGGACTGCGATAGGAGACTGGCGATGTGACGGTTCACAGATATCCTCTTGTTAGAAACTGAGCTGTTGGAGAGATTTGTTTTCTGTTTCTGTGGCTATGAAGGAAGTATTAGATAGACTCGATGTCATGTCACAGGGGAATAGGCCATTTCAGTGAATTATGGCAGTCAGTATTGAGCAGACATTGAGGGCAGTATTTGTATGGGACTGTGTCACTGTGTATACAGGGGTCACAATGCTGCACACAGCCATCTCCTCATACAAAAACCCGAGCCAGAGAGGCTGCTCACCCTGTCATCACTGAAACATCCACAGCCTCCAAATAAATGTTACAGAGAGTGGATCCTTCTCATAAATGTATTTAACAGATGAATTCAGAATGATTTAGATTACAGGACGGTATTAAACAAGACTGACGTCTGTGGAGCTGCTTTAACATTAATCCAAAGTCTCTAATAAACATAAGGATTTATTCTGAGTGAAACATCACATGAAGCCTCAATGGTGAATCTGAGCCGAGGTCCAGTCAGTGTCTGATATTCCAGTCAATATTTGTTAGTTTATCCTGTGCAGGAGTTTGTGTCACAGTGTGTATCACTGTGATACTGGAACCACAGCATTAACTGTCAATACAAAAACCCTTCAACACCAAACCAGCTCATGTCTCTCACTGTTCGCTTGT